CACTTAACCACGACACCAAACTGGCTCTTCCCTTCTAGAGATCAATTGGACTTTTTTCCACCTCCACCAATGATGTTTAGGAAAACGGTGTTATGTATTCTATTTATGCCCCTGGTTCCTAATTTCTTATCCTCTTGCAGGATTGCAAGCCGCTGGCAAGGAACCCAGTTTGGTTGCTTCGGCCTGTGCACAGCCTAGCACCACACTTCAAAATAAAATATAATAAATTGCAAAACACAAATAAACTTTTTTTTAGAAAGCCCTTGAAGAAGCCGCAGCCTCTATCCCCCACCCCAAACATGCACACACAACTTAGAACAGCGTGACGCTTAGACTTCGTGCGACTGAGGCTGCCAGTTGTGAAAAATGAGTTCTACTATAAATGACAAAAAACACACCCACAATAAAAACAGGACGATGAGGAAATGACCTAATGGGTCCAGGCAGATTGAGCTAATTGGTTATTAATTAACCGCCCCGAGCAGAATCCATTGGGGAAGTGACCCAATGCTAGGATTCTAATTAACTGAGTTCTTCTCCCCTGATAAATTATATTAACCCTATGGAATGTTCCAAATAAAAGGTGGAGGGGCAGGAAATCTACGCTCCATGGACGCCAGCGGGGCCCTTCAAAACATTTCAGCTAATAAATTAAATTAAGGCCCCAGTGTATATACTGGGAGAAACACGAGACTTCCCAGGATCTAACACTGGCTTGATTTCCTATTTCAATTATTGGTTTTTAAATTATTCGTTGGGGGGACCCACACAGCTGGATGTCACACCCAAACTGGAGGGGGGTGGATGCATCACTGACATTTTCTATCCAATTATTTTTAAGAGAAGAAGAGAGAGGTGGGATTAAAGAAATATTTCTGAGCACAGAAAGGACTGGGCTTGTAAGGCAGGGGTCCCCAACCTCCTGGAGCCTGCAGTCATCTTTGATATTCTGATACAGGATGGTGGGCGCAACAACAAAATGGCTACTGTAGGAGGTGGAGCCAACCACAAAATGGCCACCGCAGGAGGTGGAGTCAACAGCAAAACATCCGGGAACAAGGTTATTGTGACAACCCCTTAACTGGGGAGGTCTGGTTTCTCTTTAAAAGTGTTCTTTATGTTTTGTTTTACTGTGTATATCCGGCTGCCACCAGGATATTAAAGGCTTTCCAAACCTTTATACTATAATATTTCTCTCACTGGGTAGGTAGGTCGGGTTAAGAGCTTTCGAGGTACTAATGTGATCCTGGGAAGTATTTCTTTCAGAGCTGGTATCTTAATAAAAGTAGATTTATTGCTATAATTTGTAAATAACAGGATAGAACTCTGTATCTAGGAATGGGTAAATACTGAACAATTCCAACTGGTTTTTCACACACTTTTCTCTCTCACTGTCAGGGATTTTGGAATGTAACTTTGTAACACTTTTTTCCTTAGGCCATATACGTTTACTGTTTCTTTTTATCCTGTCACTCAGACTTTTTATTTCACTCTTTAACTTTACTTTCTTCTTTCATATACATTCAACTCTTCTTCATACACAGAACTAATTCCTATATCATCCACACGACAGCTTCTCTCTCCGACTTCCAAACTAACTAACTGACTGTTTAACTGTCCTCATCAACTGTCACCCTTCAGCTGTCAAAACCTCAAACTGCCACTCCTGATAGACATACATATTCATCCACACAGCATCACTTCCAAAACCCCTCCCCCTCTCTGTCACTCACCAATCACATCACACTTGCCTCTTCAAGCACTCTAGACTATCACATGCAACCAAACTTTTAAAGAGACACACACCCATAAACAAGGAATTGTTACAGTTATACAAAAATCTAACTCATTGACATTTCAGGCGGAAACTCTGTTTGCCTTTGTCAGAACCCACAGCCAACAACGAAGTACACGCATTCAGGAACAGTTATACTTTTATTGCAGAGCTATAGATGCAGTAACACAGGCACTGTTAAGAATGGTGGTGGCCCCATAGGCATAATAGGATATAGGGTATTCGTATGCACCCCCCCACACACACATACAGTACTGGCCAGTTAGGCGGCCTCCCACACGCGGGATAAAGCTTAGAGACCGTTAGGTAGCGGAAGCTGAGATCCCACGGCACCCCACGGCACCTAATGAAATCCCAGACACTACAACACATCTGTATAGATAAGCGTTTCAGCGCTCAGCAGAAAAAGCACAGAAAGGAATGCAATAGCAATTAACCTGAAAGCAGTAGCAATTAACCAGACAGAGATCAATCTCCCCAACATTCATGGCAGCATAGCTGACAGCCTTTTGATCTGCACAGCCAATCTGATCTCCAGTGGCCAATCAAAAAACCCTGCTGACTGAAAGCCCCTCCTGCTTTCTAAAAACACCGTATGGTCACCAGGAAAGGTGTCAGCAGGCACAATGGCACCCACAGACACCACGGAGGGAACCCCTGATCTATATGAGAGCCAGTTGGTGCAGTGGTTAACTCTGCGGACTCTAACCTGGGAGAACCGGGTTTGATTCCCCCCTCCTCCACTTGCACCTGGCTGGATGACCTTGGGCAAGCCGTAGTTCTGGCCGAGCTGTTCTTGAAAGAGCAGTTTCTGTTAGAGCTCTCTCAGCCCCACCTACCTCACAGGGTAATCTGGGGAGAACCAGGTTTGATTCCCCACTCGTCCACTTGCAGCTGCTGGATGACCTTGGGCAAGCCGTAGTTTTGACAAGAGCTGTCCTTGAAAGGGCAGTCCTCGAAAGAGCTCTCTCAGCCCCGCCTACCTCACAGGGTGTCTGTTGTGGGGAAGGGAAGGGAAAGGAGACTGTAAGCCGCTCCGAGACTCCGAGTGAAGGGCGGGGCATAAATCCAATCTCTTCTTCGTCTTCTTCTATAAGAAGGGAATGTTGAACTTTGTGGTAACCCACAGAAGACAGATTCCTACCTTATTTCTTAATACAGCACTGATGGCATATAAGGCGCTTTAGACTCACGGCAGAACAGCGTCCTGCCCCAAAGAGGCTGCAGTGTAACATATGAGAAAAGAGCGAGAGCTCAGTAGCCCTTAAAAGACTAACAAAATCTGCGGTGAGGTATGAGCTTTTGTGAGGTATCCGAAGAAGTGAGCAGCGACTCACAAACGTCCACACCCTGCCACAACTGCTGTCAGTCTTTAAGGCGCCTCCTGGACTCTTCCTCTTTTCTACTGCTCCAGATAAACTAGGACGGCGACCCATCCCGATCTAAAATTTGAGAGGACACAGGGGAGGGGCCTGAACATGGTGACGCACTATGGATGAGCGAGAAAAAGTCTTAGAGGTTTCCGGCCCCCACCTGAGACGAGCCCATCACCACAGTGGGGCCTCTCGGGGCCCGGCCCCCCAACTGACTACCAAGGCCCCCTCACTTCCCATTCAGTCCAGGCCCCCCCCCCCCAACAGTGTTTGTTTTGCATTTGGTTCAGAGGTCTGTGGGCTGACAAACTGTTTGGGAAGGGAAGGTGCGCTGTTTATTCTGGCTGAAGAGTGTGTGTGTGAGAGAGAGAGAGACCCACAAGGAAAAAAAATTGCATAATGGGTGCCCCACAAGGGGAAAAAATTGCCCCACAAATCGAAAAATCCTGGCTACGGCCCTGACCTGTGATAGGTGACCCTATCCTAAAGGAACCTGGCTGGAATGACTGAAGAGTGAACACCAGATGTCCAAAGTAGCAAGGCAGTCTCAAAGCTGCAGTCATCCAGTCCCCCACCCCTAGGCCACGATTCCTAACAATGGCCCTTTCTGCATGCGTATTTTGCCTCGGTTTCTGAACACATCCTATTCTTCTGCTCTGCATTCCCTCCTACTTCCACTTCCACTTTGTGTCGGGGCTTTCTCTTGTTTCTGCATTGGTTTTATACAAATCTGTATTCAGACCGCTTCCAGCGCACTGTTGCCCTTCAGCTACCAAAAACTCCTTTTGTTGCGATTCTTTGTTCTCGTCCACTTTTGAATTGCCAGTCCTCTCTAAAGTAGAATTGTTTCTGCCCACTGCCCCGCCCCTGTTTCCGCCTCTCTCTGTTTAGGCTGATGTTCCCTTCTTGTTCTGTTTTTTTTTCCCTCCATCTCCAAAGGCAAAAGAGGACATGTCCTCCCGTTCAGGCAAACTTTTAAAAAGCCAAGGTGAGTAGCCGTGTTAGTCTGTCTGTAGCTACTGGACTCTTGGTCTTTTCTACTACTTTAAAAAAGCCAGAGAGAGCATAAGAAGGAATCAGGAAATATAAAGGACTAGGGAATTCCCTGCTCCCAAATGTGTGGGCCTGGACTTCCGCCTCCCTTCTCTTTCTTTTTGCAGAATCACAGAGGGAGGGAGAGAGGGAGGGATTGGTTCTGCAGTTAAAAGTTTAGAAAGATGCAGAGGTCATTTCCTGCGGGAGCGCACAGGAACGGAGCTCCGGCAGTAAGGAGCCCAGGGGGCTGGCACATGCAACAAGCCCTAACCCCTGCTCCCAGCAGCCCTCAGTCAGGCCACGAGGAGCAAGAAGCGGCCAGGTAGGTTGCAGAGGGCCCCCCCGGCCCACCTTCAGGTACAAGCTCTCCCTCCTCTGTGAGGACAGATCTGCACGTTCCCCCCCCCCAAGTAGCTAGCATTCCAAAACAGTCCAGTGGAGCCTGAGTGGTGGGGTGTTGCCTTCTGACACACTTCTGGTGATGTCAGGGGGTGTGGCATATGGAAATAAGTTATGCTAATGAGCTCCTGCACCTCTTTTTCTACTAAATGAGCCCTGGAAAGATGTATGCCTTTCTCTTCATCTTAGCAGCCAGTTAGCTCAAAAAAAAATATGCGAGTTTTGCTTGTAGGCACAGAATGTGTGCAGAATACACAAATAAACTGGAGGGGGGACATAAACAGTGCAGAGGGAATCCATGTGACTGCAAAGTCAACATTTAAGGCTTGACTCCTCAGATTCTACAGAGCAAGCTGTCAGGGCAGAAACGGGCAACGACAGATAAGATGCCAACTTACATTTGTGTTGCAAAGCTTGTGCTGCTTGTAGGCTCCGGTGCACACGATCGCTGAGGTCCTCGGAGACAGAGGCTGGCCCCGGACCGGCTGGTGGGATACCAGAGCGTGAGTGCCCAAATCACTACCGTGGAATAAGCTTTGTGACACAGGGAATGCCTGGAAATGGGGCACTGTCTGCCGATACATGGGACCACTCACTCCCGGCGGCCTCGGCTGAGGCCTGCGATCTTCCTGGTGCAGATTGCCCTGGTGGTGGGAAGGGTTTGCCAGATGTCCAAAGGGGGTCCCGGTGCCGGCGCTCGGTTGGCTGGCCGCCTCCCGTGCCAACTGCCGCTGGCGTCGTGGCTTGCGCGGCAACTGCCCTGTGTCGGTCTGCAGCGGCAGGATGTAGGGCACTTTTCCATATCCGTATTTCCCAGGTCCGATGGGGTTTTTGTTTCTGCCTCTAAGGACAAAGGCGGGGATCACAGAAAAACAAAACGACTCAGCAAGGGTTAAGCCATAAGGACGTTATCAACAGCTTCCAACCTAGTCAAATTAAAATGAGGGCCGTAATTCAAATAATCTCTACTGCACGCTCCAGCATTGCCCAGACGTAATCTGGTATACATTTTCATTTTTGTAACACTCAAGGCCAATGGTTGGGAGAGTCATGTCCAGAAAATTAGGACCAACACAATAAGGGGCCATGGCTCAGGATTAGAACACAGATCTTCACGGTCAAACGAAGGAGGAGGAGGAGATTGGATTTATAAACTGCCCATCACTCGGAGTCTCAGAGTGGCTTACAAAGTCCTTTCCCTTCCCCTGCCCACAACAGACACCCTGTGAGGTAGATGGGGCTGAAAGAGCTCTCTCAAGAATTGCCCTTTCAATGACAGCTCTTGTCAGAACTATGGCTTGCCCAAGGTCATCCAGCAGCTGTGAGTGGAGGAGTGGGGAATCAAACCCGGTTCTCCCAGACTAGAGTCCACACACTTAACCACTACACCAAACTAAGGAGACTGAGAGGTCAGAGCACATTCCCTATGAGAAAAGGCTAGAAAGCTCAGGGTGTTTCCATTCAGGAAAAAAAATATGCCTAAGGGGTGAAACGTGATAGAGGTTGATAAAAGTACGGGTGGGTGGAGAACACAGAGAGAACTTTTGGTTCCTCTCCCATAGCACTAGAAATCATCTGATGAACGTCTGACAAAGTTGACAGGCAACAGATTCAGGATGGACAAATGAAAGTGCTTTTTTACTCGGCGAAGATTGTTTAGAGGCCTGCAGTCAACCAGCAAGATTCGAATCCAGTACTATCTTAGAGACTGACAAGGTTTTCGGGTTATGATGACACGGCCGGGAGCTCACACTAACAATATTTTAACACGGCATCCCAAAATACAATAACGGGAACCATGATATATATGTGTATATATATGGGACTTTCCCTGATAGACACAAGAGGTGCATTTGGAAAAGACTCGGTTTCACAGCTCTTAAATATAGCGAGACGGTTCACCTTGCGGGGCGGCGAATATCATATCTCCTTCATCGCAGAAACACCTGGGAGCAACAGCTTCACTCATGGTTTCTAATTATTAACATCTTTTATCGGTATTTGTTCTCTCCCCTCTTAGCCAAACCTTGTCGAGAAGGAAACCATTAATAGTTTTCAGTTATGCCCCCCAGGACTTCGTATTCACCCTCGGCAACCTCTCTGTGAAGCAGGAATAGAATGCAGTTAGTGGCTTTGAGAGAGGCGATTCCGTGTCCAGTTAAAATTCCGTGTGGCTTGCTTTGTTTTGTCCCGAGTTTTGTCCTGATTTTCCCCAGCCCTGTGTGCTGCGGCCCCAAGACCCCAAGACCCGCCCGCAAGAGCGACCATACATCCGCGACCACCCCTCTCCCTCCCAGCTGCTAGATTTAAGAGAAGAAGAAGAGATTGGCTTTATACCCCACCCTTCACTACCCAAAGGAGTCTCAGAGCGGCTCACAAACTCCTTTCCCTTCCCCTCCCCACAACAGACACCCTGTGAGGTAAAAGAAGAAGAAGAGATTGGATTGATACCCCGCCTTTCACTATTCAAAGGAGTCTCAGAGCTGCTCACAAACTCCTTTCCCTTCCCTTCCCCACAACAGACACCCTGGGAGGTAGGTGGGGCTGGGAGAGCTCTGACAGAAACTGCCCTTGAGAGAACAGGTCTGAGAGAACTTGTAACTGGCCCAAGGTCCCACCAGCAGCTGCATGTGGTGAAATGGGGAATCAAACCCAGCTTTCCCAGATTAGACTCTGCACTCCTAACCACTATACCTCCAGCTAGTTGGTGGGCCACGTGGTCCCCGCAGATCAGGTGAAGCCCTTTAAATAGGGCAGGAGGGGAGGGAGAGGGGTGGCCGGGCAGGTGGTTGCTCTTGGGGGTGGGGCTTGTGGGCATCCCCACCCACCGCCGGAACACCCCCCTCCAAATCCCCCCACTGGAGCGACGAGGCGACCTGGCAACCATATCCCCAGCCTCCGCCCCCAAAACCTTCATGGACTTCCCAACCCAAATCTGGCAACCGTACACTGGGCCCCTTGGAGCCTTCTAGTGTTGCTTGTGAGGTTGCCAAACTCCAGGTGTGGCCTGGAGATATCCTGGGATTACAACTCATCTTCAGCCTACAAAGATAAAGTCTCCTGGAGAAAATGGCTGCCTCGGAAGGTGAACGCGAGGGCACTCTACCCCGCTGAGGTTCTTCTCTTCTCTGAACCCTGCCCTCCTTAGGTTCCACCCCCAAATATCCAGGAATTCCTAACCTTGAGCCTCAGGCCTGTAGCTGCAGTGGGGCGTTTCGGGGCCTGGCCCCCTGACTTCCTGCCAAGGCCCCCTTGACTTCCATCCAGCCCCAAGGCCTCCTGGGCCACCCGGAGGACTCCCGACTCTCTCAGCCCCACCGCCGCCCCTTCCCCAAGCACAGCTTGCTTCCCCGCGTAGGCAGGCAGAGTGCGAATGCCGCAAAAGTAGTTTTAAATTTTAAATTTTAATTTTTTTTGTGTAACATCAGTGCCCCCTGAGCAATGTTCCCTCTAAGGTATGGAGTCTTGTGAGCAAAAATTCTACTCTGTGAGCTACTGGCATTAAAGTTGTGAGCGAGCGATTTGGCTGCTGCCTAAATTTGTTTGCTCTGGAGCCACATCCTTCCTGAGCTAAGACAAAAACGTGTGAGCCGGAGGCTAAAAGACTGTGAGCTGGCTCACACTAACTCAGCTTAGAGGGAACACTGCCCCTGAGTTACTTAAAGGCCCCCTGAATGACAAAATCCTGGCTAAGGGCCTGTTGAACCTGCGACCCCAGTTATTTGGTTTGCTGATATTGCTGTTTATGACTTTAAGTCTCTTGATAATCCAGCATGTGGATTATAACAGAAGGACCGGAGACAATCGTACAAATGTTTCGTAGAATCCATCCAACACAGTCTGCTATGCAGATTACATTCGTGGCACTAGACTCGCTTCCAATTTGCACAAAACCCATCGCCCACACCAAGTTAACGCTCCAGTCGTTTGGGCGATTCCGCACACCACACCACAAAGGAACAACCGTCTTGTAAAAGATTTTGCCGAGGCGGGGAAAGGCTAGGGTTTCCCATCTGAAAGCTCAAAAGCAAAGGACTATGGTGTCAGAATGCATTTTCTTTTTGCCGTCTTCAAAAAAACAACCCACCCACCCCCACCTACACAATTCTGGCTCTGTTTGGATAAGAAAGAGAGGAGGATACTGCCCATGCTTTCCGATCCGAACGATAACCCCCCAACCTCGCTACTTAGGGGAGAGCTGAAACTTTGGTCTGTTACTGGAGTGGAAGATCCTGTCTGATAAGGGATGCTTCATACCTGCCTGGAGAAGAATTTGGGAGACGGAGGAGGAGGAGGAGGAGGAGGAGGAGGAGAACAAGGAGGAGGAGGAGAACAAGGAGGAGAAGGAGAGGAGGAGGAGGAGAAGGAGGAGGAGGAGAGGAGGAGGAGAAGGAGAAGGAGGAGAAGAGGAGGAGGAGGAGGAGAAGGTGGAGGAGGAGGAGAAGGAGGAGGAGGAGTTGGTTTTTATATCCCACTTTTCTCTGCTCTACGAAGTCTCGAAGCAGCTTCCAATCTCCTTCCCTTCCTCTCCCCACAACGGGCCCCTTGTGAGGCAGGTGGGGCTGAGAGAGTCCTGAGAGGACAGTGATTGGCCCAAGGTCACCCAGCAGGCTTCCTGTGGAAGAGGAGCGGGGAATCAAACCCGGTTCTCCAAATCAGAGGCTGCCACTCTTAACCACCATGCCATGCTCATTCTCACTGGAAGCGGCGGCTCGTTCCCTTGGCGCCCTGCGTGATCCCATCTAAGTGACGGAATCCCATGCTACCAGAAAAAAAAATCACACTTGGGACCCCAACTTGACGAACCAACCCACAAGCTCTTTTTCGGCAAGACAAAACCAAATGACAATCTTAGCCCGGTGGCTTAGATCAGGTGCCAACAATCCCAGGTTCATTCCTCTGCAAGAAGATGGGCAACCAAAATGGAAGAACCACCAGCCTGCCATGCCGTTTCCTTACCACCCATTTCATCTGGCTTTGATTAAGCAGAGGGGAGGAGCCACTGCTCAGTGTCAGAGCACCTGCTCGGCATGCAGAAGGTCCCAGGTTCAATCCCCGGCCTCTCCAGGTGAAAGGACCAGGTAGGAGGTGATGGGAAAGACCTTGGCCTGTGACCCTAGCTCAGTGGCAGAGCACCTGCTCGGCATGCAGAAGGTCCCAGGTTCAATCCCCGGCATCTCCAGGTGAAAGGACCGGGTAGGAGATGATGTGAAAGACCTTGACCTGAGACCCTAGCTCAGTGGCAGAGCATCTGCTCGGTAAGCAGAAGGTTTCGGGTTCAATCCCCAGCATCTCCAGTTAAAAGGACCAGGCAGGAGATGGTTAAGTGAGCGGACCGGGTTTGATTCCCCACGCCTCCGCTTGCACCTGGCTGGATGACCTTGGGCAAGCCGTAGTTCTGATAAGAGTTGTTCTTGAAAAAGAGCCGTTTCTATCAAGAGCTCTCTCAGCCCCACCTACCTCACAGGGTGTCTGCTGTGGGGAGAGGAAGGGAAAGGAGTTTGTAAGCCGCTCTGAGACACCTTTGGGTAGTGAAGGGCGGGGTATAAATCCGTGGCTCGGATTTATCCATGGCGGGGTATAAGGCCATGCCTTGATGGCAGAGCATCCGAGGTTCAATCCCCGACATCTCCAGCTGAAAGGACCAGACAGTGGGTGATGTGAAAAAGCTGCTGCCAGTCTGAGTAGACAGTGCTGACGGTACGCACGCCCCTTTCCGATTCCTAACAGCAGCGGTGATTTTAACGGAAGACATAAACCCCCAATCTCTCCCTCAAACAGAAACAACGCCTTGCGCTATGTAATGCACACCTTGGGTGGGGCGCCTGCTTGCAAGAACCAGA